ATTGGCCTACGTTATGACTTGATTAAAATTACATGAAATTTTGATTTCCGAAGATTACACAAAATTTCGTAAAATAACGCAAAATTACGGTAATTTTCCATCCCTAACTGTAGTCCTTAATTAACCTATACAGGCCCTAATTTAACTCTAATCTTAACGTTACCGTACCGCACTGCCTTTAGTACTCGGGTCTTATCAAAAAAGAAGGTATTATACATTGCTGGGTACTTAACCGAGAGTGGGTACACAAGCTGGGGGTACTGTGACACGGTTGTAATATGATTCAATAATTTCTATTAAATCTTAATACCCGGGTATTAAATAGGGGGTACTGATACGTATAGGCTTTAAGCATCCCCATCAGGAACAGTACCGACGATCTATCAGAAACAGTATTTTCGCTGTTTATACTATACAAAATTTTATTTTAATCTGATTTCTGCCACAGTAATTTAAGACAAACACAACTTTGCAATATGAGCTTTGCAAAATTTTTTTATAGTTTGTTTTTTCTTTTTTTTACTATAGAAAAGCAGCACTAAAAACATTCAACAAAAAAAAAAAAAAAAAAAAAAGAAAAAAAAAAACATGATAAAAACAATTCTAAAACCTGAATGACAGTAGAAATAAAGTGTAATTCTACTATTCAGCTACTATGTAAAAAGCCAAGACTTAGATTTCAAATATATAGAACAAATCAAATAATCAATTTAACTTGACATAAAAACCTCCATCTTTATATGTTACCATTATCTTGTCCACCAACTTTAACGCTTCGATTGAACATAACCACTCCTGCCAACATTTTGCCCAAGTTAGTCTTAGTAGACCTTGTGACTTTCATAGGAGTTTTCTCAAGAGACTTTATAGAAGATTGGTCACTTGTACTTAACACTGCAGGAGATTTATTTTGTGATGTCAATGTGTTTGAAGGTGCTGAAAGTGGGGGCGAAGTAGAAATGGGAGGTGTGTAAATTAATTGCGAACTTTTCTGTTTGTGAGATGGCAATTGAGACTTAAAAGGAGGCGGAGGTGAAGTTCTCTTGGAGATCAATGGTCGGGAATTGCTAATAGAAGTAGGAATGTAATGATTGAAATGAGAAACATGGTGAGGTCGAGAAGACGCCAACGTTGGGTCATCAGTTGACGATGATCCACGGCGCCTATTGTTCCACGTAGACAGATTTTGCTCATGTTTACGTCGTTCCAAACGCTCACGACGTTGTTTATACGAAGACCAATGATTATTATTTATTGGGCTGGGTGGTGGGCCATTTTCAATCGATGGCTCATGCTGATAATCTCGAGACTTTTGTTCGCCCCAAGGTTTCGGCTTACAATATATCACTTTCGGTGGAGACACGGAAAGGGGTACTTTAGTATGATTAGCAGCTTCACTTGATTTACTTATTGCATCTTTCTCTTGCGTTTTCTTTATAACATTATTAATATCCTCATCAGTGCCAAAACCGGAATCAACGTCACTGTTGTCAGCATTCACATCTGCCGAATTTTCATCATCTTTTCTATTTAAGCCTAATTCATCTTGTAATACAATGTTCTTTGTTTCTACCTTGACATCTTTTAATTTCTTTAAGTAATCATCACTATCTTGTCTATCAAACAAAACAGGAGCAGTAAAGTCCATCTCATTGTCAAATTCTCCAAAAACTTCCGACCATGAGTCATGATGGTTGTGCGTATGACATCCATGAGAATGTGTAGGATTTTGTTTGAATGATGAGTCAGAAGACGATGATTGTTGTGGTACTACAGCATCATCATTAACACTTTTAATATCGTTCCTTTCAGACAACATATTTTCCATCATATCATTACACCAAATCATCCATTCTTCGATTTTGATACGGCCTTCTTCAACTTTGCAGAATACACGATTAGCTAGAAAATACGCGACCTTTTTCGGAATTGTTGCAAAACGGTTAATTAAGAAGCCTGGCTTGTCGACTTGAAAAGAAGCAAATGATTTACACTGCGTAGGATTTGGATCAGACCATGGTGAACGATGATACATCAAATTAAGAAGAATAATGCCCAATGACCATATATCAGCAAGACGAGGATCATATGATTCACATATAGGATTACGGCATTCTAATTTATTAAAGTCATATAATAGTAATTAAGAGTGTAATTAACGAAATATAAAAATTTTCGAAAGTGTTAAATTGAATTATTTACCATAACTCATGTATGGTTTAGATCCACAATCAAAATCCACCGATTCATTTTCATCCGTAGCAAGCCCAAAATCCGTCAATTTTACTTGAATATTACTAACCTTGCTGTCATTGTTGATCATGACGATAAAATTTTCCGGCTTAAGGTCTCTATGAGCCACACCTTGACTATGACAATAACCGACCGCATCCAATATCTGCATGAAAACTTGTTTGACTATTGTAATCCGTTCTTTTTCAGATAACTGTTTACCCGTTTTTGGATCTCTGCTATCATTGTTTTGCGTCAACCAATAATATAAGTCTTGACCTTCGCAATACTCAAGTACAAGAAAGAGCCAATCAGGTGTTTCAAAATAACGATCTAATTTTACAATATTGGGATGGTTGAGCTTTTTGTGAACATGTACCTAAAAAAAAAAAAAAAAAAAAGGTAAGTTTATTATCGACACTGACAGCAAAAAAAAAAACTTATACCTCATTCCGCTGAACTTCCAAATGATAATCGTTCAAATTTGCCTTTGATAAACATTTAAGTGCATAATACTTATTGGAAGACTTTTCGAGCACCCTATATACAACAGCGTAAGAACCATTGCCAAGAGGTTGGAGCAATTGAAAGGCAGAACCATCTTTAGGATTAACAATTATTGTGCCGATCTCAAAGGGTAGGATAATCGGAGAAGACAACGGCCCAGGTCGTAATGGTTGATTATTCTCAAGGTCAAGGACAGTCGACCAATTAGGTATAGATGACGACCTTTTAAGCATCATGGCTATTTAATGTTCTTTTTATATATATATGATGATTTTTTACACTTTGGGAAAAGTAACTGATGTTATATTGTCTTTTTTTTTTTGTTTTTTTTTTTTTTTTTTTTTTTTTTTTTTTTTTTTTTTTTTTTTTTTTTTATTTTTTTTTTTTTTTTTTTTTTTTT